GAAAGCTGCTTCAGCAAACCAACATTAAGCAGCTAAATGGTTTGATTACCTCTCTGATCATTGTCGCTGTCTCCATCACTGCCGAATAATTCACCCCGATCCGCCATTTCTTCCAAACTGTGGAACGATTCGATCCAACGGAAGTGATCGCCGGTCAACCGGAAGTACTTTAGGGTCACAGTTACGGTACACCTGCAGTAACTGCTGGCAGACGACAGGTGGCGGTATTTGCAACATAATCCAAATTTCAGTCTCAGATCAGTCTTTCTGTCTTTCTTCCTTCCTTTCAATATTAAAAATAAACATTTATGTTTAATACCATTAATTTATACATTTGTGATGAAGCATAAACTTATATTATGAAAGGGTATTATTTATCAAAATTATTTATAAATGAGAAAAAAAAGGGGAATATCACTCAGTTTCTTTCTAAGCGATGTTTTTGCTTATAAATATGCTGTAATTGATAGATATTACCTTAGATTTCTATTTGTTTTATGTTATGTGGCCCATGCTCTTTCAAAAATTCTATAAAAATGTACAAACCAAAATGCTATATAAAAGAACTGCCTGATGTAACCTTGTGTGTATTCCAATGATATATGATGAGTGATAGACATAAATAGACAAAAGTGTGTTTCATCATCATTTCATCATTTACTATGAATCTACATAATATAGAATGATTAAACTATATAGTTTAGAGTACATGTGTGATGATCCACTCAATCTGTTTTGCTTTCAGTTAGTTTAATGATCCTGAAGGGAAATTAAATGCTATAGTAACTCTAGGTTTGTTTTTATTTTCTGAACAAGTTTTAGATTTTTTTTTTTTTAACAACTGCATGCAGAAAGGAACCTCTGCAACAGTCTGTTTGGCTGCGGTTCTGGGGTGAACTGTGACTGAAAACACTCTGTTATAGTTCTCCAATCTTCTGAAGGTGCTCAAGGTCTTCCATAATGTTCTTTTTAATAATGTTATTTACTTTATGAAGAATTTTTCATAGTAAAATCATCTCCAGAGGTTCCAGGGGAGTTTACAGATCAGACCAAACCCGTCTGATAACCTCTAAAGCTTATTGAAGTTATTTTTGTTGATGCTCCTACCACAACAGATGATGACAGATAAGATCATACTCTGCAAGCTCGATTTATAGAAGATTTCCACCCCATTGCTGCAAAGAATGAAGAACATAAGCTTCCTCAAAAGGTACAGTCTGCTGTGTGACAGCTAACAGTGGTGTCTCCAGTCAAACCTGTTGGTCAGGTGAGCAAAGAAGTATATACTATACTCCTCACCACTTCTAGTTCACCTCCCATGTTGGTTATAGCAATAAAATCTATATAGTTACATCCCTTGTTTTGTGACATTTGTGACAACTTTACATGGCTGTTTCCACATCATGCCGCAAATCAGTTCACCAGCTCTCTGTACTCAGCTTCTTGTCCATCTTTAATGCACCCAATGACTGCAGAGTCATCTGAGTAAGTTTGCGGATGACAGGACTCTGCCTGGAATTTGAAGGTATACGTAGTAAAAAGGAAAGATAAGAGACCATCCCCTTTGGTGCTATTGACCATCTGATCAGACAGTTGAGCCTTTAGTAGCTGTGGACTGTTTGGTCCTACTGTCCTGTTTCTGTCTGCTTACACCATCATTTAGTTGGATGCCTTTGTTATCAGCAGCATCAGTAATTCTAGGCTATGGATTACAGCAGGACAATAGATTAGAAATTAGGTTTTGCAGTTAATAATTTTCTAATGACAGACTTATACTGGAATGTTACATTTACTCTATGTTGTTCTGTGTATATAATTGTTATGGTTGGCAAAAGAATGAATAGCTAATATAATTCCAAAAGAGGTTTTTATAGCATTGAAACTGTTTGATCCTAGATTTAAAAAAGAGGCAGGACTCCTAAAGAGTCCTGGTGAACATCTCAGAAGAAACAGATTCGCTTAAATAAAGATTTAAACTTTAGAGGTCATGCAACCTAGCTCACAAGAAATAACAATACTAGGCCATGATGACAATCTCCATAATACATCGGACTAAACAACAAGTAACTAAACAACAACTACACAAACGCACGGCACCTTTCGGCAAGATTCTGCTGTACACCTTTACATCAGGAACAAAGAACACAGCTTTGACATTGGAAATTATTTTAGACAGAGAGGAAAGAGGGTTAGAGAAAGGATTGGAAGAAGTCATCCATGTTAAAAAGGAAAATGCCCCCCTTGAAAAGAGGGGGTGGATTGTGTTTCAGCTTCCAAGCATCTACAGTTCAGGTCATGAAACTGATTCCAAAATATTACATGAACAAACTCATCATGATTGAAATGACTTAACAAATAGCCCGTACATGACAGACTCCAACAACATGATGGGTGGGTATTTGATATGCATCTGACTTGGAATGTACTTATCAGATTGGACCTCCATACAGCATTAAAACATCAGCTATCCAAATACAGATTGGAGCGCTGGCCTATAACACCATTGGCAAAGATGGCTTGAAAGGTGATGTTGGTTTCCCCCTATGACTGTGTGGTTCTCCATTGACATATGTTGGATCTTCTGACAATCTAATTGTGAAACGAGCTGCTGTTTGTGGATGTTGTAAAATTGAGATTCTTTGTGTTTAGCTGTTAGTTCAGACTTTGGGTGTCGGAGTATCCGTAGTGCCCAAAGTTTTTTCATACTATCCCGCTGGTTAGGGTTACTCTAGTAGTTACATTTTAACAGTGCTTTATTATATTTAGGGCTGGATGAATTGGATTAATCGATTATTGAAATAATCGTCAACTAATTTAGTAATGGATTAATCGTTAACTGGAGTATAAAAAATATGTCTTTAACTGACAGAGCGACTCACTTAGACCAGCAATTATACCAAAATTGTGAAAAAAATATACAAGCATTTTGCAGTTAAGGTATGAAGAATATTTTTCATTTGTCAATATGCTCTATCCAGCCTCCCTAAGTGGAAAAGTTTTAGTTTCACCCAATTTGATTGCGTAAAAAGCCTTGTTTATGGAGCATTTGGATATCCGATTATTAATCGATAGTCCTTGACGTAGAGCCAATATGGTTCTATGTTAATTCCCACTCATACTGTGAGGTAGGCGGATAGCCTTAATGGTCTGGCCCAAGGAACAACACTGGATATACAGTATATAAGTATACGCACCCATGCATATATATATATATATATATATATATATATATATATATATATATATATATATATATATATATATATATATATATATATATATATATATATATATATATATATATATATATATATATATATATATATATATATATATATATATATATATATATATATATATATACCATACATATATGTAGAATTAAAAAAAATATCAATCCTTAACCATAACGAAATAAATAACAACATTAAACACTGAACCAGGGTGCTGTGTAATTATTCTATGTAGTTTTCTTGCATCTCTAATCTTTCTCAAAATAGCCATAATCTGCTGAACAGTTTGCACTTTGAACCAAGTTAGGTCTGTGTTGTCATATTTATCATAACCATGCATTCCAGATGTTACTAAATTTATCAGTCTCCAATCCTAGTGATATAGTTACCTTCTCCATATTGTACATAGACATCAATCCATCCTTCCACTTTAGGTACCAGCTCACTTTACCATCTTTTAGCGGCCAACAGCATTGTTCTCACCATTTTGTTTTCCGCTCCTCTTTTTTAATTTCAAAGCATCAATAATCCTAAAATATATAATTTTGAGTAACATTGGAATCTTAATTTCTATTTGGAAATCTTATTTGGAAATGGGATATGGAAGAGATTGAAGACATTTTTATTGCACCACAGAATCGCTAACATTAGTTATCTGCATGTTTTCTTTGTGCTTTAGTGACCAACACCTATTATATTCCTCCAGCTGTACTCTCACCAAAATGATGCATTTGGGGTTTTCCATTGATTTCCCAATCCTCCCATGGCAACTATATGTTTTTTTATATACAGAAACTAAAAAAAACGTTCATGTTGCTTATTAAATGGATTATTTTGAAGTTTTTTGTTTAGGTATTTTTATTTCTTATATTTGACTAATTACATTATAATTAAGATAATCGGCTCATAATATATGTTGTAATGGGTATAAATGTGTTGAAAAATGTGATGAACTTAAAACCTTTTAACTGATATATATGGCATTAGGCAAAAGTTTCAAACCCATCTCTTCATATCTAACTTTTTAGTAAGCACACTTTCTTCTAAACCTTTGAAGAGTTCTTAGACAATAATTGTTAGCTTTCTGAATACTGTCAATGGTTTTCTTATGACTATGGTTCTGCATTCATTTATTTTCTGTTACGTCTTTTAAACTGAGAATGACAGCGTAGCAGATTGTGTATATTAAAATGAAACAACACTAATAATGACAGGACATATGAGCACGTTAGCCTAAACAAGAACTAATAATTTATCATTGTGCTTTTTGTTATCTACACTACGTCTTTACATTTCAGAGCTAATTTAAATCATTGCCGTTAAAGCTTAACTAACTTAGAATCAGTTCTTGTTACTGTATCAAGGTAAAGTTATGTTTTATTTACATAGATAGATAGATAGATAGATAGATAGATAGATAGATAGATAGATAGATAGATAGATAGATAGATAGATAGATAGATAGATAGATAGATAGATAGATAGATAGATAGATAGATAGATAGATAGATAGATAGATAGATAGATAGATAGATAGATAGATAGATAGATAGATCAAGACCATCAACAGGGGCGGATCCAGGATTTTTCAAAGGGGGGTGCGCACCTAAGGGTCATGGGGTCACGGGGTCACAGGTCAAGACAACCTGAGGCTAAAAGACCAAAGAAAACCATCTTCACTCTTTCACACTACCCTAATTATTCATCCAAGGGTTTTTAATTGATTATTTTAATGGATGAACATAAGTAGAAGTAGCATGATTACATTATTGTAATTAAAAAAGGATCTCTCGGTTTTTAAAGCATGCAGAAGGTTAAAAGGTAGTTTGAAGAAAAAAAATGATCCTTATCAACAATTAATCAAACAAGGAGTTTCTTTATTTCCAGAAATGATATTTACACATAACATGAAACAAAAAAAAAAAACAAGGACTTGGGTTCAAGTATGGTTCAAGTAAGACAAAGGAGTTTTGAATATATTTTAACAAGATAAACTGTTGAAAAAAAAAAAAAAAAAAAACAAAGTTAAACCACACAAAGAAAATTGTTCTCTACTACAAACTTTATGATGATGATAATGGGTTTACAAATGTCAACCTTCTGGGATGCTTCTGGGCAAATATGTCTATGATTTTGTTGATGTCTAACTGAATATCCTTGTGCATATACAAAAGTAGCAAAGCCACAAACCTTTCCTGTCTCATTGTTGACCTCAGCAAAGTTTTCACTGCTTTAAGACCCGAGTTAGTATGTTCCACAGAAGCACTGGTAACAGGTATGACTGACAGAAGGTGAAGAATCATATACATGTTTGGGTAGCACTTCATATTTGTTATGTTTAGAATTTCAGGGAGAGAGAGCTGGGTTTTTCCACTGATGATGACCACTTTGTGTGCCACAACTTCACTTCCTGCCTGACTGTTGATCCTGATGGTAGATCATCTTTATATGATGTATAAATGATAAAAAGTCATACTTGTCCAGCCAGTCCCTCTGGCATGTCCTTTTGGTCACCCCACTGGTTGTCTTTAAATTCTCTGGCACGGAAATTGAAAGATTTGGGTGGTTTTCTGGTCTGAAGAAGTTGGAATTTTCCAGAGTCGTCCATTTCACTAATCCGGTCCTTGGCCTTTAAAATATCTGTAATAAGATTGATATTTACATTGTCAATTTTGTATGGGTGCTAGTGGAGTTGTAAATCTGCTTACATGAAGCTTTTGTATAGTCTTTCTTTATTATGAAATAATTATTATGAAATGTAAGATTTCAAGATTAAGCAAAAAAGTCAATTGTGTAAAACAAAAACAAAATTATTTGTTTTGACATTGAAAAAAATACAACTATTACTAACCTACGTCGTAAGATGTTTGGGGCAAATCCGCTTGGTTGAGCGCCGGCTCTTCAGTTGTCTTTACATTGAAACACGGTCCTTGTTGTTCATCTGGAAAAGAAAATAATTTTTGTGATCAGGTGTACCTTGTAATCTCAGGAGGAGCCACAAAAACAATTTAATGTTGTGTTTTTATTGTAAATTATTAAATTCACTGAACACATATCACCGGTGCACAAAACTGAATTTACTTAAAAGTAAATTGTATTTTTATTGTAAAATATTAAATGCACTGAAAACAAATAACACCAGATTTGTAGTTATCATATCACAATGTCAACAAGACTCCCTTAGACTCCAAGCATGTGCTTAGAGCATTCATTAATTTGGATCCTTACCAATTGATAAAAGTTAGTAATGTTTTCATAAAGGATACCATTCTTATTTTTAACAGTACAACACATGTAGAACAGGTTTAGACCCAAAAATACACACTACAAAATAACTATTGTATGCATGTCAATGGCAACTAATGTTGCTTATTTTTGTTAATTGTACACTCTTTTTATTACTTATCAAACACTGCAATTTTTATAACTTTCCCGTTACTGGTTAAAGTATTCCTACAATTGCATTACTTTGCAACTTTAAAAAAATTGTTTATCAATAATCAACAATGTTGATAATGTTTTCTCATTATCAACATTTTCTAGCAATCATCATACCTTTTATCTGTGTTTCTCCAATATCTGAACGTTCATACTGGTCAACGCTGTGGTCATTTTCTGTAGTTGTGCCAGGTCCACTGAATAATAGAAAACAAGATATAAACATTTCAATCTGTGTTATTTAGATTATAGACATAAGCATATAGAAAATAAAGTGATAAAGTTGGTTTCTACTTACCCTTCTGTTGGATTGGACCAGAATCTAAAAAGAGATGGTTGTCTGGTTTTCTAGTTTGGCCTTAAATCTTCCAGGTCTCCTCGTGCTCGCAACGAGAAAATTATGTATACATCTAAAATGCATTATATATTTTTATATCCATATTTCTGATATTGTAAAACAGAAGCATATAAATTAATTACAATGAAAGCATTTGTGAGAAGGCGGGACCGATTCTGCCATTGGTTTATACCCGACACTCTCTGTTTTGATTGGTTCCTTTCGACGTCAATCACAGAGCCCTTGTCTTCCCTCTTCCGGTGTTACCGCCCTTGGCTGGACCGAAACCACACAGACACACACAGGCAGGAGACGGGTCGCCGCAGTCACTTGGAAGTCTGGTGCTTCTCGGAGTTTTTACCCAACAACGTGTCTTTTAACTCGGGTGAGGAAAGCACTTTTTTCAGCTTTGAGTCATTTACTGCACGAATTCACTGTTGGAACCGGCTGTAGAGTTTTACCGCGGTTAGGTTTTAGCTCTCCGGCTAGCGACTCGAGTCATCTCTAAAGGTTAGCCTGTTAGCTTCTACATCTCATCCACGGCGTTCTGCATCCGATAAATGTAGCCCAGTTACGAGCAAAAGTGTCCCGTGCATTGTTTCAGTTGGTTCTATCTCTTACATAACCGAGGAGTGGAAGATTATTGGTGATGATGGTTATCAACACATTCATTCCCAGCTTTAAGTCATAAACATGCCAGCAGGAGTTAGCTAATGCCTTTTAAGGAACAGTTGTTGTTTTCAGAAGATGATGACAGCTGAGGTGTCATTAAATAATTATTGACGTCTATATCTTTATAGCCCCTTTTTTATTTTTTATGAATTTTATGTCAGCCTGTGATGTATGAGGAATTGTGTATTTTCCATGTGCAGCTAATTCTTCCTGATTTTATGATTTAACCATCCCTGTGGCATAGACAATGCATTCTGTTAGACAGGGAATGTGTTTGTTAAACAGGAGGTTCAGGGTTTCTAAGGTGCATTCCTCTGTGGAATGACTCACACGAGTGTGGATATTTTTTGAGAAACCTGGCTTTATCAGTTTTACTGGTTATTGGAGATGGACAGGATTTGCTGTGGCTTTGCTGTAGTATTATTTGTAATGTTTTGTTTGTTTACTGGCTCCCTGCTTAAGAGCTACAGTGAGCCAGTTTTTGTGTGCTTTAAAAAAAGGCAGCCTGAACTGCATGGCTGAGTGGTGAATAAAGGGTGTGGTCCAAGTCTTAGAGAAGTAGAGTTTCTCTTTAAAGCCTGGTGGCCTTACACATGCTGGGAGACAGCTTGGATTGGTTAGAAATGTTTAGTGTTGGTTGCTTACTTTAGATTTTTGAAGATTACTTTTTTCAACTGCTGATTTTATCCGCATACAATTTCATTGCAGATAAACTCTGGCACTGGGCCAGAAAGGTGGACAAAATTTAAATAAGCTTCTTTACACATCATCCCATTTTGTACATGATATCATAAAGGAGAGTTGGACTGTGGGGAAATATACAAATCATGTGTGCTTGTGGGATAGGAAAAAAAAAACCCACACACCTCACTTCCTGTCTGGGATTTGTTAAACTTGGAGAACCTGAAGAGACATGCATGTGTTTGTCATTGTCTCACATAAAAAAAAAAAGGATTTTTACAGTGTAGACACATTGTTTCCGTCTTCCAGCTTTCAAATCATGTCGTGCTGCTATCTCAGTCCATCTGTTTTTTATCATTTCTCTCCCACCGCTTTTAAGCTCTGGAGACTGAACATAAAAACCGACGAGGAGAAGAACAACAGGGTGGATATACAGAGGAGAGTAAAACTGGAGGAGGAAGTTTAATGCTGTATCCCATGGGGGTTAAAGCTGGGTTATTCTAACTATAGTCTATTCCTGCATGGTTTGGGCGTTGTTCCATAATAATTACCTCCCATCTTTGTACTCTAAATTGTTCTTCCTCCACTTTCAGTCTACAAGGTATGCATTGTTGATGCAAATTGGGTATTTATTTAAAGAAATGTAGAAAATGTTTAAAATGAACCCGTTGTTTTCACTAATGCAATCATGTGCTTTGACTTCACGATCACTGATGGTTGCAGTCTGAGCAAAGAATATGTGGAAAACATGTAGCCCATCAAATAACATTACATTGTTAGCATTGCGGCTCTTTCCGGTAGTCAGACTCCACAAGTCAGCAAAGGAAAGTTCAAGGTGAGTGGTGAGCTTACAAGTTTGTGGTATTACTGGCGTTGAGCCATCTGTTGTTATCCTGAAGGATTATCAGAGAGGTGAGGGGGAAAGGGATCAATCACGCTGGGCTAATGCATCCTCTCAGTGCTTCCACCTTAGCTTGGGCCCACCCATTGCCATCATTATCCCTGTATGCACGCTCCATTACTCCTCTGTCTGCACACTTGAAACCACTGGGCCTCACTTACGGCATGGTACCTGTAGAGAGGCATAAAAGATGCATGGTGAACATGACCATAAGAGAAAGTTAGGTAGTGTCTTCTAATCAGTGGTATTTTGACCTAATCTTGGCATAGGAGCCTTAAATGTTTGTGGTCTTTTTCCAGGACCTGAGTAACAGCTTTTAGCTATTGCCAAAATCATGTTTCTAAGGTGACGTCATTAGAAACAAATCATCGCACTGATGTATAAAGACAGCACATGTATATACTGTTTTGTTAATATTTATTTGCATTTTTTTCAATTTCTGGGAATGTCTTTCTGCTAAGGATTTATAGCAGTGCTAGAACTTTTAACTTATTTTCCGGGGTATTATGTGGTACTTGGCATGTATCAACGCTCCATGTGGGCTGCCCTTGTCAAACCTCAGCTTTGTAACCTGAGAGGGTCGGCTCTATCACTGAAAGTCATGTGACCCAGAGTTCCCCTGAGTGTTGGGCAACATAACATATTTGACTCTTACCTTTAATCTAGAGGGATGAATGAGGTCTTGTCAATTTTTTTGAAATAATCAACCAATTTAGTGATTGGATAACCTTTAACTGGAGTACACAGACTCTAAGAAATGTTCTTTCTTGAAGATTAGGATAAAGAACCTTGTACTGCAACTAATGATTATCAAATTGATTAACCTGTTTATTTTTTCGATAAATCGATTAATAATCAGATAGAAAAAGGTTCCATTAGGAAGATTTATTACGAAATTAAACCAGGTGAAACCAAAACAGTTCCATTTGAGAAGTTCTGGATAGAGCATATTGACAGATGAAAGCATTTCTCTTAAATGCAAAATGCTTATATTTATATTTGTATATATATATATATATATTTATTTATCTTCTTTTGAAATTTTGATATAATTACTGCTCTAAGTGGGTTGCTCTGTCAGCTAAAGGCATGTTTTACAGTCTCTATACTCCAGTAAACAAATTATCGATTACAAAATTATTTTATTATTTCAATAATCAATTAATCACGATTAATCCATGTTACTTTAAACTTGCTCTTTCAAGAGACAATTTAAGTTGCCTTTCTGAGCATATTTTGAAAATCTATTTCTACATGTTTTTTGCTTCTTTCAGTGAAAACTGTTATGTTTCGTTAACAAAATGATCTCCTCTTGGATTCAGTAAATTAAATATTGGATTAATAAAAAAAGCAACCTTTTAGTAATATAATCAATCACACTGTCACACTGATTTTGAACAATGGGTCCAAATCATGAGGAAATGCTAAAAACAAAGCAATAAAAGTCCACATTCATACTGAAGCTGGTTGAACTGCTCTACATCTGTTTTTCATGATGGCGGTTTGATCCCCAGTAGGGGTGTGGGAAAAAATCGTTTTGGCGATATATCGGGATATTCGGCTGCCCAATATAATATCGATCTTTCACTTCTTAGTATCGATTTTCAACAAAAAAAAATAGTTACATAAAACATTGATGGGAAAATGGGCTACCTCTGCACCACCACTCTGGCAGAAAGCGCTGTGGAGCCCTTTAACTATGCGTGCAGCACCAAATCTGTATTTGAGGCAGTCACAGTGGAAGAAAACCGCAAACAACATGGATAATAATACCTACCGTATTTTCACGACCATAAGGCGCACCGGACTAAAAGGCGCACTCTCAGTTATGTGTCCCATTTCTGTATTTAACACACACATAAGGCGCACCGGACTATAGGGCGCGTTTTTTATATACAGGTACAAGTCCTCTACTACCTTTAAATACCTCTACTGCGTATTTAAAAATACAGCGGGGGCAAAACTGAGTATGACTGTGCTTTATTCATGTATTTATTACAAAGTATTAATCAAACCTGGCAGCTGGCCGTGAGACAGATGACACAGCGCTGTGATCACTCCTAAATTAACTTAAAATCCTGAAACCTCACTGCAAAAACAATCCAGAAATAAGTAAAAAATGGCTTAAATTAAGTATATTTAGCCTTAATTTGAGCAGGTAAATAAGATGATTTGCCAATGGAATGAGTATTTTCACTCTTAAAATAAGATAGTTAGATAATATTTACTTGAAATAAGACGATAAAATATTTTTTTCTTATTTTAAAAGGAAATTGTCTTGTTCCATTGGCAAAGTGTCTTACTTATCTCCTCAAATCAAGGAAAAACACACTTATTTTAAGAAAAAATAACTTATTGAGATTTATATTTTTTGCAGTGCTGCTGACGGAATATGTTCGCTTTTATTGCCGGTATCCTGGTGCCTGCAGCTAAAATTATTTAGATGAAAAACACCTGCCAGCAGCCGCGGTGAAGGCTGCCCAGCCTACAGGCTGCTGATGAAGAGATTTCTGCTGTCAGCGCACCGCTGGTATGTGGGGGTCTGAGCGCCTCCGACAGAAATAGATAATCTGGATGAACTGACTGCAATTATGAAGTTTTCAGGTGGACTTTCTCACTTAAAAACATATTAAAACTACTTTATTCCCACTGATCACAGCAAATATAGCTGCAAGGTTTAGATTATTTAGATGAAAAACACCTGCCAGCAGCCGCGGTGAACGAAAGGATTTCTCCTGTCGGCGCACCGCTGGTATGTGGGGGTCTGAGCGCCTCCGACAGAAATAGATAATCTGGATGAACTGACTGCAATTATTAAGTTTTCAGGTGGCCTTTCTCACTTAAAAACATATTTATACTTATTTATTCCCACTGATCACAGCAAATATAGCTGCAAGATTTAGATTATTTAGATGAAAAAACACCTGCCAGCCACCGCGGTGAAGCGGAGGAGACGCGCTCAGAGGCTGCCATTGAATTAAGCTTTCAGGGAGAAAAATACAGCGGGAGCAAACCTGAGTATGATTGTGCTTTATTCATGTATTTATTACAAAGTATTAATCAAACCCATCAAAGTCATCATCCTCTGTTATCCTCAGCATTCCTCTGAATAAAACAGCTGCGCTAAATCAGACATGCCAGTTTCCCCTTCTGCGCTGTCAGAGTTAGTTTCCGTGCAGCGCAGCTCCTCAGAAATAATGCCGGCTTTTGCGAAAGCTTGAACAACAGAGCCAGCAGACACAGTCCATCTACAATCCATCCGCAAACGGTGGCGTAACTTGCCCGGCGCTGCCTTCCATTTATCCTGAAACTGTGGTCTCCGTCTGTCATCCATCGCTCCCACGCCGCTCGCAGCCTTACTGTGAACGGCCGCTTCACACCGATGTCGAGCGGTTGAAGTTCCTTTGTCAGACCCCCCAGGATAACGGCGAGCACAGCGTTCATTTGATTCATCTTTTTTTCACATCGGCTGTGAGATGGGCACGCAGCGATGGTGATGCGTTGAAAAAAGCACCTGGTCTTCTCAGATACACCTGCCTCAGCCACGCATCCACCGAGCCTTTTCATTTGCGTTAATATCATATGTCATCAGAGCGCTGTCTGTCTCGCTGCCAGCTCCCAGATCAGCTTCTCTGATTGGTTGATGCGGCGCGTCCAGCAGCAAAACTTCAATTTTTCCATCTGAGCAGCAGCAGCGCGTTGGCGGTGCATCAGATGCTTAAACGCTCCCGACGTGCTGCACCAAAACACGCTGCGGGACCTTTTGCTGTGCCTATACGCGCGTCAACCATTGACTTTGCATGTAAACTCGCTGCTTCTGCTGCACCTGCTGGGTCCGGTTCACACCGATGTCGAGCGGTTGAACAGCGAGCACAGCGTTAATTTGTTTCCCCATGTTTTTCACATCAGCTGTGAGATGGGCACGCATGGAGTCACAGATTAATGGTGATGAGTGGAAAAAAAAACACCTGGTCTCCTTACATTCAGCCACTCTTTCATCATCTCCTCAATGAGGTGGTCTCAAAAGTCTCAGTTACAACACACATAGGGCGCACCGCACCATAGGGCGCACCGCACATTTTGAGGGGGAAAAAAAGACGTTTAAGTGCGCCTTATAGTCGTGAAAATACGGTAATCAATATTTTCTGATAAAAATATACAACACTTGCTGTTTTATCTCATCATTTGATTTTGATAGCTAGGGAAAATATGGCAATATATAGTGATACTGCAATATCGTGATAATATCGTATTGTGACCCAAGTATCGCGACATGTATCGAATCGCAACACTCATGCCAATACTCACCTCTAATCCCCAGTGCAGAGATTAAAGCTAATGATTACAACATACTTTTTGATTCAATTGAAGTTATAGTTCCCAACTTAACTTGCAGGCAGTTTCAGTTCACAGTTATAATACTATATATATATATATATATATATATATATATATATATATATATATATATATATATATATATATATATATATATATATATAATTAGGGCTGCAACAACGAATCGATAAAATCGATAAAAATCTACTTTTAAAAGCGTTGGCAACGAATTTCATCATCGATTAGTTGTGTCGCGCGATTAATGCGTCATCCGCTGCCGCCATTATCACTGCCACTTGACTGAAACGGGGGGGGGGGAAAAAAGATACGGCAGAGCGAGTCAGCGCCGCAGGTGCGCAGTGTTTCCAACTCAGCGACTTAGTCGCTATATTTAGCGACTTTTCAGACCCCTCCAGCGACTATTTTTTTAAAAAAGTGACTAGCGACAAATCTGGCGACTTTTTACGGTGTTACTGGCGGCTTTTGGAGACTCTTACGTGAAAGCATGTATCGTTCCTAATCTTGTCCTCCAGCGGCAGCTGCTGCCGTGGGGCGCCTCCCCCCTCCCAACCCCGTTCTCCCGCAGGAATCTCTCTCATCGCTGCAATCAGAGCCGCAGGATGTACTTGGAGAAGCATCCCGCTGCAGCCTGTTTCAGCGTCCAGACTGCAAATGAAGCGCGCATGTGCCGGGATTGACGGTGCAAATTGATCACAATAATTAAAATAGCCTTTATAAATAAATTATCTTGCAAATTATGAGGGCAAGGCTTTTGAAGTTTAAATCTTCTGGCAAAGATAAAGTAAAGAAGATCCTGCAATTTATGGAAGTAAAGTATAAAATCCAGCAAGATCAGTAATATGTCAATTAATTATCTGCCACATTCCCATGTAAATATCTGTCTTTGGAGGATGTGTTTTTTAGCACCCCTAGTTCTCTCATTTTTATTCCAAATACAATTTATAATTTGAACCACAGGGCTATTTTTTATCTCTATGGTTCAGTATTTTCTCAAGTAGCAACTTTAACTGCTATACTTTCCTGTCTTAAAAGGCAGAACTCTTCTAGTAAAAAAAAACAAACTCATTTGTTGAAATGGGGGGGCCTATTGTTTGAACCCCTTAGGGGCTTTAGAAAACAAAAATGCCCTTTTTTGCGCTTTATGAAACAAAGTAGCCTATATTTTGTGGATGTACAGCTACATTTTTCATGTAAGTTTGCATAGTTTTAACACAAACATTTATTTTTCATATTGCACCAGTACAGTTAATGAGCAACCTGTACTTGTGTGCTTGTTTGTTCTGTCTAAAATGTTTATTTTGGAAAAAAATACAATATATATATATATATATAATAAAATCAAAAAATTTTTTTGTCCGATTCATCGATTAATCGAAAAAATAATCGCCCGATTCATCGATTTTTAAAATAATCGTTAGTTGCAGCCCTAATATATATATATGTAGAGGATTATTATTTTTTTTTTTTTGTAAGTAAATATAATTTTCTCGCATCATCAGCTGGTAAAGCACTGAGAAATACCTGCTTAAATCAACTGCCAGAAAAATCATACTCTCATTTAATATTAGGGCTGCAACTAA